GGCAAGGACAGCAGCAAGGGCTCTCAAGGGAGGGAGCAGGAGCCTGTCATGAAGCCATGACAGCTTCAGACAGACTTTGAAGGGCTCAGAGAAAGAGAAAGAAAATGGGGAACACAGCTGGGGTCTGTGACTGTCGGTGGCTAGGGGTGGCTGGGATGGGGTGATGTGCCCAGGGCTGTAGGTACATCAACACACACTGTGTGACTGTGTGTGCCGTCCACGCCCCATTGGCTGGCCCCTCGGCTTTCCAAGTAACAGTGCCGCCAGGAAGAGAGAGGCACCGGAGCGCGCTCTCTTCTCACGCTCATCTTTGCTCTGTCTCGTCTTCTTTTTACATGAGCCTCTCTCTCAGGCCCAATTTTTCTGAACAAAGGACTTGATTGAGGTGGTCTGAACAGTAAATGATTGTACGTATCGAAGTCTGCCAGGAAAAGTTTAAATCCAACATAGAGCAAAAGGAAGACTGCTGTCCCAGGGCCCAGCAGCATTGCGGCTGTGCTGCTGGGGCGCCGAATTTGACTGAGCTTCCTGCCCGCGAAAGCAGAGGGAATATACAATAAGTTTCTAATTAACAAATGAACAACTTGTCATGGGAAATAACCTCCCCCCCCCCCCCCAGCAAGCTATGAGAGGAATGGGCAAGAATATGAATATTCTAATGGACAGTGTCTCCAGAGGTTAAAAGATAAGTACCTTTGGTACAGCTCTTCTCTTTCATTGCCTTTGATAAATGCGCTTCCCCAGAAGCTTTGACTGACACTGGACAGGGACCTGGCTTTCTCCTCACCTGGCTTCATGAGAAGTGTAGGCAGGGCCTGGTTCCCTAGCACTTGGAGCCACTGTTTTAAAACTTCCTAGTTAATTCTTTTGTTTTTCTGCTTCTGGGATAGGATCTCACTGTGTAGCTCACACTGGCCTGGAACTCTGGATGCCCCTGCCTTAGCCCCCTGGGTGCTAGGATTAGGGGCACGTGCTGCCATTCCTAGCCGCCAGGAATTTCTGGAGATCTGTAGTTCATATCATGCCCCTGGACCGTTCATTCATGTATTTCTTCATTCATTCAAGAAATGCTTGGGGATGTGTAGGGAGGCCCTAGGCACCGAAAGGAGAGAGGCAAACAGCTGTTACACATGGAGGTGCAGTGACAGTCAGATGCAGAAAACCACGTAGTGGTTTCTTTGGCTGGATATAGAGCCAGGAATGGCTTCACCAAGGAGTCATTTTTGAGCTGGGTTTTATGGACACTGTAGGATCTCTTTATGTACTGAGATGGGCCCTCCAGGCAGAGACAGGATGGAGCCTGGAGTGTTGAAGGCACAGTCAGTCAGCCATGTTTGTGGAAGCTGGGGAGAATGCTGTGTAGCCCTTAAAACATGACAGGCATCTCAAGGATAGCCTTGGGGAACAGTTGAGCACCGACACAAAAGGAGCATGCTGCTCCTGCAGGGCAGAACTGTGGAGCCCCCCTCCCCCTGCAAGACAGGCCGGGGGCCCTGCTGGGCTGTGACAAAGCTGTGAGGACCATTGCCCAGAGCCTAGGCTCTTTAGTGAGGTCCTTTCTGCCTTCTGGAAGCCAGTGCTACTTTAGTGAACGGCCTGACTGGCCTTCCTCCCCTCCCCCATCTGAAAATACCTAGTCTTGTAAACCCAACAGTTAGAGTGACTCATGCGCTTTGTCTGACACTGAACAAAATCAAATACTGGAAATTTAAACCATGAAGAGGCAGGAAATCCCCCTCAGCCACTCTTTCTGAGATTGGCTCTGTCTCCAAGAGGGGGAATCTCAATCTTCCCTCATGGGCTCAGCTGCCTGCCATGTCTGCAAATAGAGTCCTGGGGGCTGGGGCCAGGGATGGGCATGAGGGCAGTTCTGACCTTTGGCTGGAATGCCGAGGGCCTGGAGGAGCATTGCTTGCTGCTCATCCCTGTAGTGGTAGAAGGGGCCCCTCGTGGTCCAGTTCCAGCTGCTCTACCTTCGAGCACACTCCCTCAGACCCATCCTGACCTGGCTCCCTCCTTTTCTCCGCCTCTCAGCCCTTGTCAGCCGTTTCAATTGGAAGGATAGCGCTTGCTCAGCTCGCCCCCAGAAACCCTTTCTGACCACACCACAGTCCATGAGAATGAAAGTCTGTTTTTCTCCATATTGGATGGACTTCCTGGGTCTGTACATCTTCCTCTGAGAGCTTGTGGAGGCTCTCCTTGACCTCACACACCTGCATGCATTCCACAGGGCCTAGCATGGGTGAAGTGATGTCCTCCCACCCTGCTCAGGCCTCCACTAGGGAGACACAGAAAGAGGAACTTAGGACCCGTCCATGTCTGGGCATCCGGGAACTCTACAAGGTACCACTGCAAAGGAGACCTTCCCAGAGCACACCGGAGGAGGCAGCAGCCATGCATTTGCATTTGGTCTCAGATGCATTCTCAGCAAAGTAGAAGCTTGGGCCTGATCAGTTCTGTCCTACTGGAAGAAAATCTAGACGGTGACCTTTCCCAACAGCTCCCTGCTGCATGGAATGCAGGCATACTCTTCAAATGCGGCTGTCTCTGACTCACAGCAAGAAATGTATTTTCCTCTCTACCTGCTGATATGTGTGTGAACCATGATTTACAAAATAGGGCTTAACTTCTCTAGCCGTGGTCTCTGTTCTATTCTTTCTAATTCCATTACCAATTTGCTGGGGATGCAGCTCAGCTGGTAGCGTGCCTGCCTGGCATGCATGAAGCCCTGAGTTCAATCCACAGCACTGCAGGAAATTGAGTGTTATGATCCGTGCTCATTATCCCAGCCCTTGGGAAGGTGAATGCAGGAGGATCAGAAGTTCAAGGTCATTTTCAGCTACAGAGTAAGTCTAAGGCTAGCCTAGGCTATGTGAAACCCTGTCTCAAAACAAACAACCCTAAAATAGCAAACTAAAAAGAAAACAACCCCCAAAAACCTCAACTTTAAATAGCTGGAACCAACTGTTTGATTTCATCACTGTTATGGGGTGAGCCTCACATTGAAGAGTCATTACGATAACTGTCAAGACGCTGGGGTGAGGTGGACCTGTGTTTGAATCCTGGCTGTGGTGCCTAGGTGTTGTGTGCCTTTGAGTGCATCAAGTTCCTTCCAGAATGGATGTCTCAGGCCTTTGCATTGAGAAATAGAATAACACAGCACCCTTCATGGGTGGAGCTTGAGGCTGAGCTGGAAAGTCACAGTTTGTGAAGGCCAGACACAAGGTGTTCTCTGAAAATTAGAAAGCACTTCTGGGGGGAGCCTCGCCGCCAGGTGAGGCTGAGGGACTGCAGGCCCAGGTGTCCTGAGGTGTCACTCACTGAGGATAGTTCAGCCACAACCCCCTGGCCTTATCAATCATCTTCCAGAGAAGGCTGATTCATGTAGCAGGTAGCAAAGAATCCCAAGGCCACCAGCAGGCCTAAGTACTCCAAGAGAGAAAGAAGCCAGGCTAGGGCCAGGTCTACCTGCACCAGAGACTACTAGAAAGCTGCAGTAATTAACACGGTGTGCTATTGGCACAGGGACAGATAAATAGACCAATGAAACAGAATCCCGGGCTGGAAAGCCATCCGTGCACATATGGAACCTTGATATATGGGTAAGGAGATGTACAAATCAGCGGGGAGAGATGGGCTCTTAATAACCAGCAAGGGGCAACTGGTTATCCATTCAGAAATGGGGAGAAGGAAGAAATTAGATCTTTACACCAGACACAAAAATCAATCCTAGGTGGATTAGAGGCCTAAATGCAAAAGGCAAAGGCACCTAATATGGTCAGCTCCAGGTCCTGCCCAAACTCCCCAAGCACAAGCATGGCCTCATGGGAGAGAGAATGGGGCCTCAGCTACAGTGATGTTTTTACACAGTGAAGACAGGAGCAGCCTAAGTCATCTTCCCATCCCACCTCAGTGCCTCTTCCCCCGGGAAGACTTTCCTGGTGACCATTCCCCAAGAGGCATGTGTTCTGATCTACCCATTGGCCCTGCCAAATGGTGCCTCAGAAATAGGCATCATTTTCCCAAGTACAAGAGGAGCTCCTAAGTCACAGGCCTACTCACCTGCCTACTCTCCCTGCTTGCCAAGTCTATCATCTTGGTCAGACAGGGATGTGACCTCCTTTGGCAAGGCCAGGCTCCCACCAAAACTTGGCGCACACAGCCAAATTCTTTAGCTGTAGCATTTTCAGTAGGGTTTGGGAGGCAGGCAGAGATACGCTGTTCATGCTTACAGTCTTTCCTTGAATGGGAATGTCCAGGCTGGAATCTTTTCTGCCTTCACTTGAGGCCATTCTGCAATGGCCTCAATGTCAAAGAAATGACTCATCACAGGCTTGGATTTCATGGGCGGCTTAAAGAAAGGGACATGACTCATTGCCCAGAGCATGGGTTTGTCGTGGTTTTGGTAAATCTGACGTCTGTACCTGAAATATTCATCACATAGGTGTTCACATGTTTCCAGAATCCAAAAAATCACTTGTCAAACTGTGACTCAGTCTGCTCGAGGTACTGAATTAGGACTGGGGATTTACAGTCTCCCAGCCCCTGGATTAGGATTCTGCCTGGCCTACTGTGGACATAACCCTCCTCCTCTTGGACCCCAGTTTGTCCCTGTGAAATGAGTCTGGATTCCCCAAATTCCTTTTTTAACACTTGTTTCTGGGGTCTCACTCCGTGATCTTGTGAGTTCCCAAGTCAGAAGCAATACTGTCTCTGCCCTTGGCAAGGAAATGCCTATTTCAGCCCTGCTTGCTCCATACCCTCCCTGGCCTCTGGGGCTGAGCCTGGGAATCTGACTTGACCTCTTGTGAAGCTGTGTGGATTCCTGCCCATTTCTTCACCTGGGAACAGTGGTCATTTCTGGATACGTGTGCTGCTCCATTGAGCTGCATTTGCCCTTTCGGCCTGGGTTTCCTGGAACCTTCACGGACAGACCATGGCCTTGCATCTGATCAGGGTGCCTCTGGGCTCCATGCTGAGATGTCTGCTTCCTATTTCAGACCACGGAGTATTCGGCCATGGCCTCGCTGGCTGGAGGCCTGGATGACATGAAAGCCAACTTGACAAGCCCCACCCCTGCTGACATCGGGAGCAGTGTTCCAGGTCCGCAGTCCTACCCCATTGTCACAGGTGAGCACACGTAGACCGGGATGGGGGGGAGAGAGAGAGGAGAATGCATGTGATGTGGGAAGTTGTTCTTGGTTCTTTTGGACATGACTGGCCTCTGATTTAATGGGAGCTAAGGTCAGATGGCAGACTGCTGGGGTCACAGGCTGTGGCTGAGGTGTGACATGGCTACACGCTGCTCCAATAAAACTAGCAGAGAATAAGTGCTGAGAGAAACAGGGATCATACTGTCAGAACACCCCCTGCGGTGGGTCCAGGTGCTCAGAGGTCTGCAATTTCTCTCTCTCCTGAGCCAGAAAAATCTGTTGGTTGGCACCAGCTTCTGGGAGTAGAGGGACTCTCTGTAAGTCATCATTGGCATTTCAGATTTCCAAGCAGAGGCTGAGGCCAGAAGGGCTAGGAGGTTCTGGGTGTATGCCAAGCAGCTGTCTTTCCTGGCAGCCTCAATTATCATCATCACTGTGAAGATTAAGAGTACAGGCCCTCACTGGCAGTGAGATTCAGCAACAGAGCGCTGCCCAGCATGTGCTGGGCCCCGGGGTTCTCTCCCCAGGACAGGCGCACGCACTGCAGAGTTCCCACCTGTTGTGTGTCAGCCACGCAGTCTTAGAATTCCAGCTGTGGTTTTCTAACCTGAATGCTGAGAACAGTGACAATGGCTACTGCGCAGGGTTCCAGCGAGAATGACCAGGTTCCCACACACAAGGACCTTGGACTCTAGCAAGCACAAAGTAAGCACCCAGCAAGGGTATCTGTTGTGACTCCTCGGAGCCCCCTCGCCCTGGTCACAGTAGGACTTGCTGCCACAAGGGGATGCCCTTCTCCAGCTCAGCTCTGGGAAGGTGTCTCACCCAGGATTAAGAAGGGTCTCCAGAATATGGAACATAGAGGCAGAGGGGGCTCCTGACCTATACTTGGGCTGGAGCTTGAGATCTGGCCAGAGATGGCAAGATGTCCCTCTTGGTTGATGGACATCGCCTGGAAGTAGTCACAGAGCCAGAAAATCCTCCTGTGTTAAGATTTGAAGAGGAGGGATGGATGAGGCAAAATGTGAGGCCCAGGGGTCCCTTAGTGACCAGACTGGAGGCCTGTCTCTGAGACCTAACAGCTAAATCAGCACTGAGGCTCAGGCTAAAACCAGCTGAACCCTGTTTGCAGGTCTAGGTACCACATGAAAACAGACAGAGCATGAATGGCACAGTCCTCGGTGCATCTAAGATGGGGCAGAGCCCACAGCCCTCTGAGCCTCAGGGAGGAGGGGTGAGGGAAGAGCACCAGCCAGTGAGCTCCAGCTGGGGGCTCCAGCCATTGAGGTGTTTCCTGAGGTCCCCTGCCCAGATTCACTAGGGACCTCAGTAGAAACATTCCCATTACTCAGGTGCAGAGGTCAGGCTCAGTTGTACCCACTGGCTGGAGTAAGAAGCTAAATTAGAGCCACCTGTAGTCTCCTAGAACCCCTGTCCTTGTTCTCAGGGAACCACAGACAAGTAGGGAGGTAGAAGGAGGGAAGGGGAGCCAGCCTGGGCCAGCTCAGAGTCATAACCCCTGTCCCTTCACTGAGTGTCAGGCCCTCTCTGGGGAACTCAGGGGAACACCGAAAGGTACCTACTGTTATCGTGTCAGTTGCATAGATGAAGAAACAGCCTTGTGGTGATTAAACATGCTGCCTGAGGTCACAGCCAGTGAGTGGCAGTGCCACACTCAAACAGGGCCTGTGTGCTGTTCCTATACCATGAAGACTGCCAGCGGGCCCATTAAGGACCGGTTGGGTATTTTTTTTCATCTGTGAAAAGTTCCTGAGCACTCAGGGTTCTTGTGATTCTCAGATGAGCTCTGAGGGGAGACTGCACTGTAGAGGGAAGATTTGGGGCAGGATTTAGGAAGTGGATTTAGGCACATGTGTATTTAGGTGGCTAACAGTCCAGTGAACTCTGAGGCCAAATCTTGTCTGTGGAAATGAGAAGCAGGCTCACTAGACAAGACTAATCTAACCTTCAGATAAATCTAACTAGGTTTCGTGAGGCTTTTAAAAATGTGAGCCAAGATTTAAAACAACAACAAAAACAACCTAGCTTTCTGGCTTCTCAAAAACTTAGACGAGCTAAGGGTCCTATTCGGTCATGGCAGATTGGGGCTCAGTGGCAGCAGCCCCTCAACAGGCTTCCACGGTCCCCAGCAAAGTCCTCTGCGTTCACGTTAGAAGCCACGCCCAAAAAGGAGTGTGACTGCCCCTGGCCCCACAGAGCTGCAGCTGATGCTACAGGGGCTCGCAGATCTGCAGGAGGCCATGGGAGGTCCAGGATCGAGATGCAGATTGGTTTTCAGACAAAGCCTGGACCAAAGATTAGCTTGTACTTATTTGGATTTCTTAATTTGAAAGTCACATCATAGCACAGGAAAGGAGTATAAACATCAGTGTCCGAAGTCAGGGCTATGCTTAGCTCTAAAATTTCAGGGCATGGCAGTGAACACCAGTCTTTCCAGCACTCAGGAGGCTGAGCTGAAGGATCGGGAGCCGGAGTACGACCCAGTTTCAAAACACAAAAACATTTCAAAAAGGAAGGCAGATTCCAATTGTCAGACTAATCATTAGCTTTCTTATAAATAAACAATAGTTAATATAGTAGAAGACAGAGGCCTTCAACAACAAAATATACAATACCAGAGAATGAATTTAGCTTTAGAACCACAGGAAGTGACACAAAAGAATAATGGAGAGATGTTTATTCCCAGACTGGCTGTCAGGAAGATGTCAGCTTCCCCAAGTAACCTCTTACCTTAAAGCAATCCCAAGAAAAACACCAACAGACGTCAAGAAAAATCATCAAAATGGTGCTCACTGCTGGTGCTGTAAGACAGCTAGAGGCATTCTGAAATAAGGAAACCAGGAGAGCTTCCAGAACATTCCAAAACCTATTACATGGGGCCAGTAAGATCCTCTGTGGGTAAAGTGCTTGCTGCCAACACACTACATGTAATAAAGTTTTAAATAAAATAAAAGCATATGATAATTCTATGGCAACTAAAACTATTGTAGAAGCTTGAGTTTTCAGACACATGGGCCAGGATAGACAGTGTAAAAACAGGTCCAGATATATGTGGTCATATCCTTGCTTCATTATCTCTGTTGAAACAAATGAGTTGTAAGGTAACAGATATGCTAATTAGCCAGATTTAGCCATGATACATTGTAGTTTATATCAAAATTTCACAGTGTACCCCATAAACATGTATATTTATGTATCATTTAAAACAAATTCCCATTTAGCCAAAACTTTTTTTTAAAGAAAAGCCATAATAAACTAGTAAAAAAAGATCACTAGAGAAAAGTATAATTTTAAGTTAGAAAAGGCCTTTAAATGTTTCAAATACAAAAGACTGAAAAATTTTAAAATGGAAATCTTTTTGTATATAAAAATATCATCCAAAGGCAAAAAGCAAAACTAGGGTGGAGTGTAATACAGATGGTAAAAGTTAATTTGTTTAATATATAAAGAGCTTTTGTGTACACACAAAATGTTTATATGTATGTGTGTACCTGCTTATCTGTATTGCACGATATGTGTGCGAGTGCCCAAAGAGGCCAGAAGAGGGCGACAGACCTCCTGGAAATGAAGTTACAGGTGCCTGATATGGGTTCCAGGAACCAAATCTGGGTCCTCTGCCAAAGACGCAATTGCTCTTAACTGTTGAGCCATCTCCACGGCCTCTATATAAAGGGCTTTTAAAAACAAATAAGAAGGGGCTGGAGCGACGGCTCAGTTCTTGCCGAGAAACCGAGTTCAGTTCCTAGCACAAATGGCAGGTGGCTCCCAACTCCAGATCTGACCCCTCTGACCTCTGCAGGCACTTCACTCATGTACACATACCCTACACAGACACACATAATTAAGAATAATAAAAAAATAAATGTTTTAAAAATTAATAAGAAAAATAATCCGTAAAATACCCAGGCAATCAACGGATAATTTATTGGAAGAAGGCAGTACCTCGAGAGGGCACAGAAACTGTGCCCCTGCCTCGTCACAAGCTGCAAATGAAAGCAGCCGTGGGACGCTTGAACTGATGCCATCATCTCTGTAGTAGGGTTTGGTGTTGAAAAGGCACAGAAAAAAATATTTTCATTTGTCACTATTGGAGTATAAATCAATGTAATTCCTTTTGGAGGAAAACATGGCCATGTCTTTCAGGGGTTTAAATACGTTTCATTTTACCCGCTGACTCAGGAGTTCTATATACACTTGAAGAAACTTATTCTACAGGCCTCAACGATGGTTTTGTCTGTCATTTGTAACAGCAAACAAGTAGAACCAAAGCAGACCCTACAATAAGAACTAGCTAAGTAAAGTATAGTGTTTTCACACAAGGCAGTATTATGCTCCGTGGTTAAGAGCACTTGCTACCTTTGTGGAGGACCCAGGTTTGATTTCTAGCACCCGTAACAGATGGCTCACCATACCACAACTCACAGCTGCCTGCAAGTCCAGGGCCCTCTTTTGGCCTCCACAGGTAAGACAAATAGTCACACACATACACAAGTGATAGTAAATCTTTTTTTTTTTTTAAAGAGCTATCTGTACTAACATGACTGTCCAAGACAAACATTTAGTTAAAAGACAAATTGTAGAAGAATAAAGTGTGATCCCATTTATTAATATTAATATATAATACAGTATTATTAAAAATGCAAGAAAAACACAAGTAAGAAAATTGAATTGCCGTTAGTGAAACCGTTGAATTAGCTCAGCATACAGCCACAAACACTCACATACACCAGGTGTAGCCGATGCTTGAACATGAATATAAAGTAGAAGGCCTTCATACCCCTTCCTCTGTCTTACAGGGTATTAAATCCCTGGGATGTCAGAGTGGGGTTTTCACTTTGTCCCCACAGAGTCTCTTTGGGTTAGCAAATGTTTGCAGACACACACACCCTTATGTTCTTGATCTCTAAGTATACAAAGAATGGAGCCTGTTGTCTCAGTTGCCTTTCTATTGCTGTG